ACCGGTTAGACCGGTTAGAGACCAGTTAAACCAGTTAGAAACCAGTTAAACCGGTTAGAGACAGTTAAACCGGTTAGACCGGTTAGAGACCAGTTCCAGCCCAGTTCCACCAGTTAAACCAGTGACACACCAGGGACACCGGTGAGAGCCCAGCGCTCCCAGGATAACCAGTTAACCAGGATAACCAGTTAACCAGGATAACCAGTTAACCAGGATAACCAGTTAACCAGTACAAACCAGGATAACCAGGGTAACCAGTTAACCAGTGTAACAGTCTAACCAGTTAACCAGTTAACAAGGATAACCAGTATAGCCAGTCTAACTGGTTAACCGGTTAACCAGCTAACCAGGGGACTAGTTACCCTCGCCGTGCGCCACCCAGACGCCCAGGCGCGCGCCCTCCATGCCCCAGTCTGACCAGTATAACCAGTATAACCAGTATAACCAGTATAACCAGTATAACAGATTAACAGGTTAACCGGTTAACCAGCTAACCAGGGGACTAGTTACCCTCGCCGTGCGCCACCCAGACGCCCAGGCGCCCCCTCCATGCCCCAGTCTGACCAGTATACCCATTAACCAGTATAACCAGTATAACCAGTATAACCAGTATAAAAGGTTAACCAGCTAACCAGTCTAACCAGCTAACCAGGGGACTAGTTACCCTCGCCGTGCGCCACCCAGACGCCCAGGCGCCCCCTCCATGCCCCAGTCTGACCAGTATAACCAGTATAACCAGTATAGCCAGTATAACCAGTATAACCAGTATAACCAGTATAACAGATTAACCAGCTAACCAGGGGACTAGTTACCCTCGCCGTGCGCCACCCAGACGCCCAGGCGCGCGCCCTCCATGCCGCGCAGCAGCAGCGCCGGGCCCGGCTCCACGCGGACGCAGACGAAGCGCGACTCGAAGCGCCCGGACGCGTTCCGCTCCAGCGCCACCCGCGGCGCCGCGCCGGGGACGTCACCTGCCACCGGAGGGACACCGGGTCACCAAAGTGCCACCGGGGGTCACCAGGGGTCACCAAAGTGTCACCGGGGGTGGGGACAGCGAGGGGACACCGAGGGGACACCGAGGGGACAGGCCCGGGATGGGAACCCAAAGGGACAAAGCTGGGGACACTTGTGGGGATGTTCTGGAGATGCCACCACCCCCAGCAGGACCATGGGGCTGTCACCCGCCGGGGAATGTCACCAAGGGTCACCAAGGGTCACCAAGGGTCACCAGGGGGCTCCAAGGGTCACCACAGTGTCACCAGGGGTTGGGGACATCGAGGGGACACCTTGGGGACAGTCCCGGGACAGGAACCCCAAAGGGACAAAGCTGGGGACATCTCTGGGGATGTTCTGGAGATGCCACCACCTCCAGCAGGACCATGGGGCTGTCACCCGCCGGGGAATGTCACCAAGGGTCACCAGGGGTCCCCAGGGGTCACCTCAGTGTCACCAGGGCTTGGGGACATCAAGGGGACACCAAGGGGACAGCCCCAGGACAGGAACCCCAAAGGGACAAAGTTGGGGACATCTCTGGGGACACCCCTGGGGACACCCCTGGAGCAGCGGGGACATGGCCTGGGACACGGGAATGTCACCAGAGTGTCACCAAAGTGTCACCAAGGGTCACCAGGGGGTGGCATCAAGGGGACATCGAGGGGACAGCGAGGGGACACCTTGGGTACATCAAGGGGACAGCCCCAGGACAGGAACCCAAAGGGAAAGCCCAAAGGGACAAAGTTGGGGACATCTCTGGGGACACTTCTGGGGGACAATTT